AAATTTACTCTTACTTTGTTGTTTCCTAAATTCATTTTGTCTATACCTTTTTCTAACTAATTTTGGTTGTAGGTTTTTGTCTTGGACTGGAATAACACTTTTTAACTTTCTACTATTTAATATTTCACTAGGACTCGGAATAGTGGATATCGGAGTATTTCTGTACTCTAACATACAAAGATAGGTATCTGTACCTTCTTCAAATGATTTTTTCATTATATTTTTAACAGCTTGTATTGTTCTTTCTACTTCCCCATTAGACTGTGCATTATGAGGACTTGAACTTATATGTTGAAAATTATATTCTTTACTGAATTTTTTAAATTGAGAAGATGTAAAACACGGTCCGTTGTCGGACACTACGATTAGCGGTATTCCTTGTCGTGAAAATATCGACTTCATATGATTTATAACCGGTACAGATTCTTGTGATTCTAATAGCGCAATTTTAACAAATTTGGAAATATAATCGACCATTAATAAATAATCCTTACGTTTAAATTGAAATAAATCTACCCCTACTTTCTGCCATGGATAATCTGGAATCTCGTGACAGATCAGTGGTTCACTTACATTTTTTCATTTATATTTATTACATATATCACAACTTTCAACAAAATTACTAATGTCGTTAGTCATTCCTGGCCAAAACAATGTCTCTCTTGTCCTTCATTTACATTTTTCTTTACCTAAATGCGTCAAGTGAATTATCTTTAGCATTTCTTTACGAAGAGACTTAGGAACTAATATTTTATCGTTTTTAAAAACTAAACCATTACCACAGGTCAATTCCCCCCTGTATGGCAAAAAAGTTCTATTAGTTTTCTCTTCAGGAAAGCCATTTTCTATTAACTTTATTAACCCTCTTAATTGCTCATCTTTTTCAGTTTCCCACTGAATTTGTCTAAGTTTATTATTTGTTACAGGTAAATTTTCTACAACCATACACAGCTGTGCTTCAATTTCATTACTCTGAGAACTCTCGACTTCGTCTAATAATCTATGTGCCGTTGACAAAGTGTCAGCAATTTTCAATTCTGTTCCCTTTTTATAGACTAACCGATAATTATATTTTTGTAACGTCATAAGCATCTTTTGTAATCTTGGGGGTGTTTGCGATAAAGTTTTTTTATTTACATATGTTAAAGGTTTATGATCTGTTTCTATTAACTATATCAGTGCGTCCAATATATAATTTGCAACAATAGCATACAATTCTTTTTCTATCTGAGCCCATTTATTTTGAGTCTCCGTAAATGCTCTGGACATATACGCTACAGGTGTGTTATTTTGTAAAATTACCCCTGCACAGCTTGTTTGGCTTGCATCTAATGGGTTCCTTTACATCAAAAAATTTTAAAACAGGTATATTACTTAAACACTTTTTCAAATTTTCGAATGATGTTTGTTGTTCAAAATCCCACTGAAACATTATATCCTTTTTTAAAAATTTTCTTAAAGGTTCTGTTAATTATATATCGTCCTAAGTAATTAACCATACATAAAAATCGTTATATACCCTTTTTGTCTTTAGGAACTTCCATTTCTTTAATTGCCGCCACTTTGTCAAGATCTGGTTCAATACCATTACTAGTTAAAATATTCCCCATATACTTAATTCCATCTAATCCAAATTTACATTTATTTTTATTAAATTTCAAGTTATTTTTGTTGAAGGCCGCCGTGATGTGCTCTGTGAGGCATAGGATTTGGAGTTCTCGGTGAAGTGACTAGGGCGAAAACGAATTCGTCAGGAATGACTCGCAGTTCTTCGGAGTGGGTTTTTAGGTGGGTAAAAAATACCACTTCGCTTATAGCCAGAAGTAGGCTGATGGGTGGGTAGTTGGATGGGAAGGTGTAGTCTTTGTTGGATATGGTGATATGTATTAGTTTGCTGTTTTCCAGCGTGTAGGGAAATGTCTACCTGTGGCATTTGTCGAGTAGGGCTATGAGGCCTAGTAGTCCTTTTATTGTAGTCTTCTGTACATGGCATGATTAACCCCCGGGGGTTAGACAAGCCGGTGAAGAAAGAAACGAGAAGACAAGAAGAGCGCCAGAAGAGGCCCGCTGCCGGCGGGGACAGCCAGGACAAGAGGAGGTCTCACAAAGCTTCTACATCGGCTACATTTGTGGTCGCGGTCGACGACGATAGTCCTCTTCGGTCGAAAATCTTTTAAGCCATAAACAATGCCATCAATAACGGCGCGTGTTATAAGCGCAACTTCAAATATGATAAATTGAAAACAGGGATGCCAGTGCTTAACAAAAAATTATACGATAAAGGGGGATAGTCCTCCTCGGTCACAAATCATTTAGGCCATAAATAATGCCATCAATAACGGCGCGTGTGTGGAAGAGGTGAGCAATTCGATGATCCAATTAATTGAATCTGAATTCTCTCTGAATAACCGATTCACTGAATCGGCCCAATTGAGCCGCAATTGGAAGAGAGAATAAATAGATGACAAATCGTGTCATTTTGTTTCTCGGGACTTTGTACCTTGGATCTCGTGGTGGGAAATTAAAAAAAGTACCATGGGTATTTAAATAATCGTACTAAATATAATTAAGTAAGTAATTACTTAATTATTATAAAAACTGTATTATACAATGTGTTTCACTTAAAGTCGGTACATCCCCGTATTTAGGATGGCGTTGGCCAATTTCTAAAGTCCTTTTTTATATTATTAGGCATTTCTTTAAGAAAAAAATGGATAGCATTTTCGATTTGATCACACTTGAAAACCCTAAATTTTACAGGGTGTTCACAAAATAGGTGCAAACTTCGGAAAATTTCACTCATTGCAGAATGTCAGTGGAAAATATTTTTAAGGTATTTTTTCATAATTCTATTGAACATACAGTTTCATTGATTTCACTCATACAGGCTGCTCACAATAAGATATATTTTTTTATTATACCAGAAATGAGTTTCACAAATAAATAAAATTTAAATATTACCTACTGTTTTCTATTAGTTCACCATCATTTGGTACGGACTGTTTAATTATTTTCCTCTTATTCCTATTAACTCTCCTCAACTGATGTGGTGTTATTCGTCAACATGCTTGTCTAATTCTATTACATATATCTTCTCTGTTCTGGGGCTTTGTTTTGTAGAATTTATTTTTCACAGTTCCTCATAAAATGAAATCAAGATTACCGCATTATGAATAGGTGCTCCATCTAGTCCTAGTCGAAGGTAGAGGTTCCGTCTTACATGAAGTGCATGTACTGAATTCCAGAAATCATTATTTAAAAAATTCAAGAAAATCCAGGCTGTTTAAAAAGACATTCTTACGCACGGCCACCGCCTCGCCCTGGTACGTAAGAAATACCGACATTTTACGATACTTAAAATACACTAACGCAACACAGACAATACGTACACACACCCAAAAATGCATAGACGCGGACGCGAGACACGATAACCCTCTCCTTAGACAAGCCGTTGACTACGTACCTGACGTGACAGACACATACAGACGACCTAGGGCCAGTTTCCGATACATTTTGTTATCTATTGGATAGTTATCTATTTGGTAAAGTTATCAGACCGATAAGTTCCAAAGAGTTTCTGAAAGAATACTGACAGATAAATTGCAAATAGATAGTTATCTGATCGATAACTATTATTCAGTGGCTGGACATCCCTTACATCTAACTTCACAGTTAAACAATCGTACAAATTAAGGGTTATGGATACTTTGATTATGGCAAGGATATTTATAATACATCACAGATCATTCAAATAAATCTTGAATGATATGTGCTACATTCTCAAAATGTTGAGTTAGTAAATTATCTAAACATTTTGACAACGTAGCACTGATCGTTCAAGATTTATTTGCAAGTACTTATTTTTTTATATTTTCAACACTTCGTATTTTGGAAAATAAACGTTTCATATATAAACGTTTTTATTAAAATATCGCAAGGAATTACGTCTTGTAGTAACTGACCGTAGTTACTTAGAGAACACCCAATAGGTATATAGGGTGTTACGAAATTCGCGGACACGGACTCTGGGATCATGTTAAGCTAGATAAGGTCATAAAAAAATGTCTCTATCATTTTTCAATAAGACCTATATTTTTCAAGATACGGCAGTTTTAAATATCCAAAAATAATAAAAATTATCAATTTTTAATCATTTGATAAAAAATTATGGCAAACGAATTGTTCAAAATTTCCACCACCT